AAGTAATCCAAGCTCTTTTTCACAATAGATAAAAATATAGGTGAATTCAAGGCACATGTATTCTCAAAGTTAACACACATTATTTCTTTGGAACTAATAAAACAAAGCAAGCCATAATTATGTTATCAATGTGCTGTGCACAGGGGCTTTTGTGTGCATTACTTATAACAGCATTATCAGAAAATGATCACAAAGTTACTCACATGCACAAATGTGCACACATAAACGTATGAGCATAGACTGGAACACTACAGTAGAAAATAAGAAATGTTCCTGTAAATAGAGTTCTTGGACAGTAATGTTGTCAGGCTACACACTTTGAGTAACGTGAATTTCTGTGTAACGACAGTTATGGAAGACAGCTGATGCAAGGCCAGCATGCAGAGAACCCACGATTTACACATCTGGTTTGGGGTTGGTAGGAGGCTGCTTACCATTTTGTGGCAATGCTCATAGCACCGACACAATCATGATAAACTGACAGCAAGATCCATTCTTATTAATGCCACCTGAAATAATTAAACACCGAGGAAACTTGTGTGCTAGACATATTTAAAAAAAAAAAATAATAAAAAAATCACTGCTTGGCCCCCGGCCAGATAGCAAATGTCTTAAAAATCTCATCTTAACTTTGTAGAGCCCTTTTCTGAGTATATATTGCTCAGATTTTTTTTAACCAGGCACAATAAGCCATTTAATTTGTACTTTCTTGTGTGCATGAGACTACATTCAGATGAAAACATTCATTTTGCCTCACAGTGATCAAGTTGTGAGTTTCTTAATGCTCTTGAATTGGCTTTTGCCATCTTCAGTGGTAGGAAAAAAACCCCACATATACTTGCCCAGCTGGGCAATTAGGAAAAATGAACCTTTGGCTTTTCTTGAATGTTGCTGCTAGAAGACCATGGCTATATATACATCTTTATCTCTCCAACCAAGTTCAGCAAGTTGAAAAACGTGAAGTATTTTTACCACCTGAGTTTCAGCATCTGGAATTGCAAACTTCGGAGCATCCCGAATGTCTTGGTTTCAGCAAGCAGCCGAACACACAAACCCCAAACACACTGCATTTCCTCCTGCTCTCTCTCACCCACCCCGTGAGTTTCTCTCTTGTCTCTCTGGAGTTAGTATCTAAGTTCACAGTTCTGCTTCCCTAGAGCAACAGCTCCAGCATGTCACCGTGCCTTGGGCAGGAGGGAAACCTGAAGTTACAGGGAGTGGGACTGCTTGTTCTGTCCTTCTAGCTCAAATAAAACACAAGCAGGATAAATTGAGTAATAACCTAAGATAATGTGGTGAACTCAACTATTCTAAGGAAGAAGCTGGAACAGTCAACAGTGTCCTTGCTCTCAAGCACGAGTGACCTACAAGCACAGGTGACCAAAGCTTCCTCTGAACCTCTGTCAAGGTACACACCTCTTCTTCCTACATCATTAGCCTCTCTCAAAAATTTGCGGTGTTAAAAATACCATTTTAAAAGCTCGAGTACATTACAATAAGGGTTCATATCAACATAATCTACACTAAAGATATCTGTGCCTCCAAGAGTAGAAACAAAAGCAATCTTAAATGAGAATGGCATTGGTGCCAACTAAAATAAAAAAATACTGGTATGACTCTGGACCCTTGGTGCTAGAGTGGAAAACACAATGTCTAATCCTCAAAATGCATACCAGGCACAGAGTATAAAATGAATCATCTCATGGTACAAATGGAAGAGATGCCATAAATTATACCTACTTAAGCATTACCATGAAGGGAGCCTACAGGTAAAACTACATGATTACCAGGCAATGTTACACGCTTGATGGCTGTAAAATGCTCGATGGTTGTAAAGTGAGGGAATACATGGTGTATCCTAAAAGCAGAAGGCTATAGGCTGCACTGTAACATAGTACTGAAGTTATCTATTCAGAACTTTCCTGAAGCCAGGCCACAAGGAAGAAGCATCAACTTTCTTTTCAATTAACATCACACTGCTAAGGATAGAAGGATGTAATTTGTGAAATGGACATCAAAATGGAGAAGGAAAACATTTATTTTCACTTCTTTTTAAGAGTGAAATACTTAAAAGTTAATTACCCGCTTAGGGGAGTAAACTATTAGACAACTCTTATAATTTATTTTTTAGGTCTTTCTGGAGATACTTGAGCCCTCTTCTCATGTGTGGTTAGACTGAAGTTACACACCCTGGAGCTGCCAAACCTATTGCCATTTATGATGGAAATATTTTGATTATACTAGACAACAGTAATAATTTTCTCTCCTAGCTGAGACAAAAAAAACCCTCGAACTTGCTGCTCAAGCTCATAAACTGCAAGCAGCTAGATATGCATAACAGAGCTTAAATCTTTGAATTCGTCTATACTTAAGTGAAATGCATCAGAGAACAGGTGGCTCAGGAATGCAACTTCCAAATTAATGCATCCTTCTAGATAAATGGTACATTTTCATTAAACCAAAATTGAATTATTTTCTAGTACATATAAAAATGAGCAGTTTCTAACAGAGCAGGCCATAAGTGCAAGTTATTTGCAGAGTTAACAAGAAAAAAAATACTGCTTGTTTAAGGCAATCATTGCATGAATAACTGCCATTTTAGCAATGCTCCACACATATAACTGTTCAGCATTGAATACAGGTTCTCAAGAATTGTAAGCAGAAGTTTTCTTCTACATCTATATTTCTGCATTTACTCGTTCATTAAATGCTGTCATTTTCAACGTAATAGGTAACAATACGTAAATTGTTAAGAAAAGACAACTAAACTATAAAATCAATCTTCAAACCCATAGAAAGCAGTTATCTTGTTATTTACAGAATAGTGCAGTATTATAAACAGATTAAGACACCTATAAATGACATCATTCTACACCTACAGAATAAAGAATGTTTAAAAACAGATTAGCATGACAATCAACATTACAAGTCTTAATAAAAACAAGGAAAAAATCAAAAGAAAACATTTCTGAAACTTCATCTCTCCTATCATTTAAAATTTACATTTTCATTTACAATGATGGGACAAATTATATACACTGTTAGTATATAATAGCAGTTACTGGGCCATTACATTGCTATCAACGGACCTTATTCACAGGTACTGAAATTACCATTTCAAAGTAACTCCTGGCAAGCAGAAACACAAAAAACTTAGAAAAGGATTAATTTATCTGATTTGTTTGTCTTACATTACCAAGGGACTTTCTTTTTAGGGCAATGTGAATGTACATGCTCAAGGACCGACTTCCTCATTACATCACTGATACAGAGATTTGTATTTTATCAGTATTCTTAACATATACAAAGCAGTGTTTGGTATTCAGCCAGAAACTGAAGTTTGTGTCCTTTCCTGAGGTTACAAGTTAATGCATCACAAAGTGCAGCTCCCAGTGCTCTTTAAAAGTCATGACCATATGTTACTGAAAATGATGACTCCCAGTCTGGCATATCTTCACTGAGGGTCAGAATTTCCATCTCATGAAGAAATACTCTGGGAAAACAGATGAAGAAAGTCCAGTGGAACAAATGACGTTCCAGAGATGGTGCTTGTTTTCACCCTCCTGAGCAAGCATGGAGACCAGAACCCCGAGGCCAGGGCTGTCTCTGCAAGGGGCCTTATGCTTTTTTTTCCCCTGCCCTGGCACTGACCAACTTCCCTACTGGCTGCTGTCCTCAGAATTCCTTTGAAAGGCAGTTCCTGAGGTTTTTGGTGATTAACAGGAAATTGGTATTCATTTTGCAACTCTCGAGTGCTATTTCAGTTTTTATGAACTTGTGCCTCAACTATACAGCTGTGTACTGGAAATAAAGAGGCCTAGTACAGAAATCTAGGGAGGACTTTAAAAAAAAAAAAAGGGTGGGGTGTCAAAATACAGGTGTTTCATAGGCTTCAAAATTAGCCACAGCATGTTATGTAGGAGTTCTCATATGGCTATGTGGGCAGGTCCACAGATACTTTTCTGGTGACAGGAAGGACCTTCCCAGAACGTCTTTATCTGTGGCCAAACAGCTTATACAGTAGTTTAACTGTGCTAGAGTAAGTGATTGTCTGAAGAAAGGCCAAGAAACACTTGGCAGGTACTCTGCCATCTCTGCAGATGAGATATCTGAAAGATCAATTTATAAGCTGTAGGGTGCAACCCAAATCCCTACCTCTATTATCAGGTAATTTATAATGTGATTCAGGAAAGCGGAAGAATCCAGAGTCCATCATCCTTTATTCCTTGAATAGTTTAGAGATACTTCACAGTGAGCAAAGAGCAAACCCAGTAAATTTCAGATTTCAGCCATACTATTTAAAAAGTTAAGAACTGGGATTCAAAATTTGCTTCACAGATGCATGCCTACACTCCAGTGGTCACTGGTTTTCCATGTCATGTAGCCTTGTACTTCTGATAAGCTTTTAGCAACACTATGAATAAGGTCCATAGCGTTAAGGTACACAATCGTCACTGCAGTGTGTTGCAGTGGCTCACTAAACAACCAGTTTCTCCTTCAGAAAAAAGCATTCTTCAAAGATTCTAATATTTGTCCTATGTAGCTTGTTTTGTTTGGTGGTTTTTGCTTTTTTTTTTTTAATTCCAAACCATGCATGATCTGACATAAAATCTACTTGGTTAAGCCATGTAGTCTGCTTGTAAGAATGCTGTGCGTATGAATTGTAATTATAGAAGCTTTTTTTTTAATTGTAGGTAATTATTTAGATGGTTCTTTGGAATTTACTTGCCTATGTATTTTTCCAGTTAGCAGAACCTGAAACACCTCGCAGATATCACCACTTCTTAGGACACAGGCACACATGCTTGTGAAGGCACTTTTACCCACAAAGCTTCCAAGACTTTAATTACTAATCACACATAGGGCAAACTTTCTGAACACTAGTACAAGAGCCCATAGCAGATTTATAAGTGAACTCTGGTTACTGGATAGATTTGTAGAGTTGTTTTGTAAGTTAAATTAACCCTTTTTCTAAAGGCACAGAAAATAATAAAGCAGCAGACCACTGGATTCATTCATGCCGCCTTCTTTTTTCGAGAAAAAAATTACAGTTTAAAGCCTTTTTCATTATATCTATGAATCGTCACACAGCCGTGATATGATACTGGCCTGGGCATGGCTGCTACTCCTGTGATAATGCCCGTTGCAGGGTCATAACAAAGAATAGTGTCTGTGGCTTCACCATTTTCTCGTCTTCCGCCAAGGATATAGATTTTTCCATTACAGACAGACATGCCACAGTTCTCCTGTTTCAAAATGCACAAAGGAATACATGATTATTTAAAAGAGAAGACCTCAGTTCCTGCACATCTACCCCAGTGCAGAAGGACAGCATTATGACTACCGTTTGTAAACAGACTGGCCTCTACTATTCCCTCCTGAAAGGGCCAATGCAGAAAGCAGGATAACTGGGGAAAGCAGCAGTACAATCCTACAGAAAAGACTATTTCAGGTCTAAGCCTTCACAAGGCATAGCTCAGACAAGGGATACAATGGAATACAGCTGAACACTCTACTTACCATTTAAACATTGGAGATAAGGGAAGGAGGAGAGAGAGAACAAAGGTTTTCAGAAAAGGGACCACAGTAGCTAGTATTAAGGCAAAAGATGGGAACAAGGAGAAGCACCTTAGAGGAGTAACAGATAATGAAGAGGGATGTAAACAGTGGAGAAGAAAAAAGTCATGACTAAGAAAAGAGCGCATAAGAAAGAGACAGCACTATGTCTTTCTTGAAACTAAGGGAGACAGGATTTTATTTCTTCCTTAAAAGCAGTCATGAAAAACAATATTCAGTTCAATAGAGAACACATATCAAAACAGAGGAAGAGAGGGAAGGCCAGGAAAAAGAACAAATTTCTGTTAAGGTAGATACTGTAGAGTATGTGACTGATGTTTTAAAAACATAGGGAAAATTAACTGATACACTCACACTTTACTATCGAGGGAACACATTTTTAAATTCTGCTCAGTGTTCCATATGTGGGAGCAATACAGCTCTTGCTGCTTAAGTCAGATACTTTCTGTGCTATACAGGGGGTTTTTTTCACACTGTAAAACCAGCCTGCAATATTTTTTCGTTACACTGAAAGGCTTTAATCAATTATAAGGCAATTACTATCTTCAGTCTGAATTAAAACATGCAGCAGAAATTGACAGAGATCAATTTCTATACAATTAAAACGTCATCCATTATACTGTTACACTGTTCTCCAACAGTAACTGCTCTCAAACAGAAAGACTGGACTGGCTAACAGTGACACCCAGCTAAAAAGCAACTGGTTTAGAAACTCCCTCTTCTGTCAGGTTTTGAATTATACAGATGAAGTAGTAAAGCAAGAATGCAATCAGAGATGCAATTTTAACAGTTAAACAAAGTGTATACTCATTTCATGCAAAGATACTCATGCAAACAAGTATCTTTCAGGTGTCTACAGCATTATTTACCTGTCTGCTGAATGTATTCTGTACGTGCATCCAGTAGTCCTCAACCGGATCATAGCAGTATATTGCTTTGGTAAGCCCACCAGCAACATAGATCAGATTGTTTAAAGACACAGCCGTAATACATCTTTTCGCAATAGGGATAGTTGCACGGAGCAACCAAGAATTAGTATCAGGATCGTAAGACTGAACCTGAAAACAAATACATGCATTTCAGATTAAAAGACAAACTGGAACAATAACACACCCACACAGGTTATAGAAGGAGAACCGAAGCAGTAATACCTGGTGGGCAATATCTCACCAAGAAAATGAAGTCAATATAAATAGAGGTCCATATTCCAATAATGTCTACACCTGCACTATATTCAACATTACTTTCCTAACACTCAGGTTTAAGAATTCACAGAACTTGCGAAGCCAATGACAGTATCCATGAGAAGGACGACAGTAACAGTGTGTTACTGAGTTAACATTTTCTACTCTGTATTTTATTATAATAATCCCATACTCTATTCAGCAAAACAGTTAAAACAGATCTCTCTATGATCTGTGTTTAAACCAGCACTACTGTTTGCCATGGACAGAAGACGCAATCAAATACAATTAACTGACCTTGTCAGAACACGTGTTGTCATCAGGACCGCCCCCGATCACAAACAGTTTGCCCACACAGCTGGTGACTGCTGGAGAGCTCACAGCTTCTTTAAGGGGGGCCACCTCTGTCCATCGATTGGAAAACGAATCGTAACACTCTACACTGCTGAGGCGGTTTTGCCCATCGTATCCTCCAACAACATATACCTATGCAAAGTGGTGAAAACGATCATAACTTTTTTTAGAGTAGTTACTACATTTAGAATCCTAGTTTGCTAGGTTTGTGAAGGGATACTTCCCTCAAATTTTTAATTTATACATAGGAGGAAAAGAACACGGTCTAAAAATAATAGGTAAAGACTCTCTGGAGAGTTCCATTCAGTCACATGTGGAATGACACTGCAAACACATGTCCAAAGCATAGTATTATTAATAGAGATAGAAACTTCCCATCTGAATCGCATTTGTTAAAAAAAAGGCATCTCTCTGCGTTTCTCTTTTTACAGATTACATGCAGCAACAGCAGCAGCAAAATCCATCCGAATTTACCTTTGCTTTTCTGTGTTTTACGTTTTTCCTACTTGCTTACAAAAGTATTTCTTCCTCCCAGTTTGTAAGCTTTTCTTTACTTTCCTGCTACTTCTCTCGTATTTAAGAAGCAGAGCTCATTATGATTTGTGTCTACCTTCTTCCCTCTGTTTGCTCCAGCTGCAAGTCTCGTCTCCAAGAAGTTACTCGCTCCAAGGGACACCACATGCACACTTGCCCTAACTTTCATTAATGGAATCCTCATGGGCTGTCCATCCCAAATACCGTTTTTATGTTACATCACATATGCCATCAAAATACAGCAAACCCTCCTGTTGCCCCACAGCACATAGTTGGTTAATTTCAATGTAAAACATTAAATAAAAGAGCACAGAACTGGCATTCAGAGCAGTACCAGTTCTGTTCATAACGGCATAAACTGTTAAACTTTTGACAGCACTTCTGAAGCACAGGCAAATCCAGACACTTCTTTGCCTCCCCAAAAATTGCTTCTTGAGGATAAGACATTTCAATGACAGAAAAACCCACAAAAAATAACTGAGGGGTAACATGATTTTCATGTCCACAGATAGCATTTGACTGATGAAAACCCTAATTGTTTAAAATACTCTTATTTGAAAATATGAATTTTTAAAATTATTTTATAGAAAATACGAAGTAATACTAAATACATACATATGTTTTCTCCACTGTTTTCTTATATACAGCAAACATCTCCACTATAAAGAAAGTTATGAATGTACTTCTCTTACTTTACCAAGAAGAACAGCCATTTTATGACGCCATCTGCCTTTATTTAAGGAGGCAACTCTGATCCAAATGTTAAGTTGAGAGTTATAAATCCAAACATCCCGGCTATTGATTCTTCCACCTTCAAAACCAAAAATATGCCAATTTGAATAAATTCATTATTGAATGAGAAGTGTTAACCATTAACATACCCTTCTACAGTGGACAATGAAAACTTTATGTACTTTTTATGTGAAATAAAGATCTATGTATATTTATATGTTAGACTGAAAAAGTCAGTTTCAGTGGGTTTCAAACATGAAAACATACAGTAAGGTATTTTACTTATGTGTGCCCTTTCCAGTAACATGCTGAGATCACATCAGGTTATTTCCTGATACTGGGATGCATTTTAATGGCTTTTGCCCATGCTCTTCAGATTTCCTTTGGTGTCACTACCTGGATAAGATGCTCAAAATCTTAACTGTTCGTGTGCCTCCTAGCACATCCCTAACATTAGCTGTTTCCCCATTTGGTTTGTGCATACACATTCATTTTATGTTTTGTTCAAATGACACAGGTACTACAAATCTGAGGAGACAGTTTCTTTGGTTAAACTAACACACGGGGCTTGGTGTCTGTACCCTGTAATTTACCCTTGCTAAAAGACTGAAGGAGACATGTTTGCAGAGCTATAGCTAGTGCTCATTTCACTGTAAAAGGCTGGTTATAGACAGATGCCCAACTCAGGTGCTGAAAGGAATTTGTTTCCATTTTACATTCCCATGATGAGAAGCAGCTGTAACTGGTTTTCCTGTGGAGTCCAGGCAGCCATACGATAGAAGCTAGTCACCAGCAACGTACCAGCTCCGCAGAGCTCCAAGGCAACTGGTGCTTTTATCCAGCACACAGCATGTTTTGTAGCAGAGAAAATGCTGCTGGGAAAAGACTGGGATTTTTTGCTTGTAGTTTTTCCAACTGTAGCTGCAAACAGGCCACTATTGTATTTTAAAGCAGTGTACTTAACGAGCGTAAGCTAGTCTCTTTGAATATAATTGATATCCTGGAATCAGCTGTAAAAAACTGTGATTAATACCAGACAAAAATCCTAGAAAACACTTTTGTCTACAATAAGAATGGTTTGGGGCTGGTGTTTACCATTTACATCAGGAAGTTACTTTCAGTTGAGCTTCTGGAAGTTCACAGTACAAAGTTGTGTCACACTGCTTTAAAAAGAGAAAAAAACCAAAAAACCAAAACCAACCAACCCAAACCAACAAAGAAAATAATGAAGTCTTAAATTTTTTAGGATTATTTACCTGAAACAAGAATATCATTCCGTAGAGCACACACTGCATACTCGGACTTGGTAAACTCTGGAAGTTTAGCCAGTGACTTCCACTCTCCTGTTACAGGATCGTAGCACTCGGTATATGGCAAATTAAACCCTCCAACTCGTTCACAGCCTCCAACAACAACTATTACCTCAGAATAACCAGTTGATCTAAAAAAGAAAACACAGAAAACCAAGATGTAGAAGATATTTATTAGTACATGGAGGCTGAACAACACTGTCTTCAAAAGTGTGTGAAAACTGGGAAGTTTACTATTTAGTACCTTCTCTAGTAATAGTACTACTTTCAGTAGTACTATTTAGTAACTACTTTAGCAATAGTAACTATTTATTACAGCAAAGAAAAAAAGAAAAGAGTCATTCAGCAAACAGTTAAGAGGTTTTCACTGTTTCCAGCTGTCCCATCACACAGCAGGTTGCCACACGGACAGGCATTCCGTGTAGGCAGTAGAGCCACACTGCACAACGTTCCATGTAAAAATAAAATCATTAAAAATTACGGAAAGCCCTTACTCTACTAATATTTTCCTTTGACTGTGTACGTACAGGTAGCAGAAAGAGTGCAAGCGAGGCCTGAGACAATGATATGCACAATCTGTTTCGCAATGAAACCAGTCCCCGCATCCCCCCCTAAATTTTACAAAATTCATAGCACTTTACATTGCTTAAATATTCAAAAAGTTTAAAGTGGTTTAGGTAATTTTCTTGGGAAAAAAAAAAAAAAAAGCTGAAGGCATATGATCACCAAAACCAAACCAAATCTTAGAGCCAATCCACAGTTAAAAAAGTGAAACACAAGTGTAGTCATAGAAGAAAACATTAAGGAATGCTGAAATAAAAATTTAAGCCTAAACCAAAAACTAGAACTCAGTGTGAAATAATTAAGCATTAGACCGTCTGCAATGTACACAAATAAGCCTTTAAATCCTATTCCACACTCATTCTCTTTCTACTAACCTGATACTTATGCATTATACATGTTCTACAGTCACTGCAGTAACAAAACTCTTTGTATGTAAATCCTCCTTTGAACTTAGAGAATCAAAGTGCAAATCAAACTATGGCCAACTTTTATTCCTTCTCTCAAATTTATTATTTCTTGTAAGCATTTGTCAAAATCCTTTCTTTTCAGGGCATTTTTAGATTAAAGGATTTTGCATTAATATAGTTATTTCAAGGACTGCTGTCTATTGATCAAATAAAACCAAATACAAGATCAGTTTTATTTTTAGTGAGTGCCTTTTTATTACATTGCCATTTAATTTTGATCCTGGTATGAACAGGCATCTCATTCATACCATTGCTGCGTACTGCAGTCCTCTCTAAAAAAATAGAACTAAATCACCTTATGACTGCATTTGAGATAAAAGTTGCGTGTTCTGTCCCCAAATTTTGTAACGTGAACTTATGCACATATTAACTTATAATTCCTGGTGGTATTTTCCCTGTTTTGAAACATCTGGAATAAAACTAGCTAGCCCTTCTATCTCCTGGTCACCACACATCACAATTTAAGTATATGATACATCTTTCTACTCAGAATATTTTTAACGGGCAAAGGCAATGCTCAGTGATAATTTACTTTAAGATTTTATCATGAAGATATGCACCTGAGGAAACATACTTACGCACCTGAACTAGTCAGAAGAAACACTCTCTTCAGCTGCTCAGCTCTGAAGTGATGCTCTTTCCTGGTGTCTATATATTTACTGTTACTGTTTTTTGCTTTTTTGAGGAACAACTCTGAAAAGAACCTCTCAAAGGGTAAGAGAGAGGAAGCTCCTGTGCCAGCAAAGCATTACCCAGAAAGAGAATTTCCTTAAAAGCAAGAAACTCATCTTATAATTTGCCTTAGAAGCAAGCCCAACTATATCAACTAACTCTATGTACAAAAGTTTTCTCTCAATTACTTTCTAGATTAGAATCAAGGTCTTCACCTACTTACTGCAAAGCTTACTGTACCAGATTATCAATCTTTATTTTAAAACTAAATGAACCAAAAAAAATCTTTGATCAGAGAGAGCTCTTCATGAATTGCTATGATGAAGTTTTGATCTTCAGAGGAAATCTTAATTTATTACAGTATTTCAAATCCATAGAAAAACAAAATTTTCCCCAACATTTTAGTACCTATGTAGCCACGTATCTTTTCTTCAGTTAAGAAACATTTTCTCTGTTACATTTTCTTCAAGGATTCTTAACACTGTAGAGTTTTTAAGGTTAGTTCCAAAATATTTTTTGCAAATGATAGAGGGCACATCAGGTTAAAAAAAAAAAAAATCAACAGGGGGGAATACACAGAAAGAACATACAAAGGCATTTGAATGGAGATTAGGAAAAACTGTGATCTCCATCAGTGGTACAGGAAGTACTCCTTGTAGCCCTCAGAAGAAAGGGTGTGAGCAGAGTTACAGACATGAGCTAAAAAAGGCTCTAGAGATTCTAGGAGACACACTCTCATCAGGAAAAGGTACACAAAATAGAAAAGGGGGAACAGAAGACAACGGACAGAATATCATATAATCCCGTGCATTCCCAAGAAGAGGTTTCCAAGGGGTCCCGAGTTAGACACAGACCTCCAGACAAGGCGAGAACAATGACTAGCACAGCGTCAGCTGGGCAGAAGAACTTTCAGTATTTCCAAGAGATTACAATCAAAAACATTTTAAGTTTGGAGACAAATTACCAGGATTCTGGTAAATCACTACTTTTTTTTCCACCTTTTAATTTACTTTTGGGTAGCAAATGGGTCACAGACTCCTTGAGGTAAAAATAAGGGACTGCATTAAAGCTTTCTAAAGGCAACCAAAAAGGATGTGTTAAAGTGTATAAATGTAATAGCTCCTAACTAATTGAAGAGGACACTCATACACTTTAATTGGACAGCTTGACAGGAACTGTGTGATTGAATAACTCAGGTATATGAAAATCTGAAGATAATTCGGAGCATACATTAGGAAGAGCCTGTCCTGTTTTGTATACGGAAATGTATTATTGCTCACCACTTGATGTTGGCTTTGTGATTTGCTTTGCAACACAACCAGCAGGGGACAAGAGAGACTTAAAAAAAACATGGGGGACAACCTCAAGATGTCACTATGTCCTTGCAAACGTAACTGAAAAGCTCTTTCAAAAAGACCTTCTGCACTTGTCAACAATGCCTGGTAGCATATGACACAAAGAGCAAACAGGCAACTGTTACGCCACATTTTAAACTATTTACTTCGGGTAACTCTTCACTGGCTTGAAAAAGAAAAAAAATATCAACTGTAAATTGCAATCCATGCTTTCCTTTAAAAAAAAAAAAAAAAAAAAATTTTATTCTTAAAGAAACTACATTAATGATCTAATGAAGAACAACAGTATAGGATGTTAACCATCATTTACTTTAAGATCTTCATATTCTGCAAACCAAAAACCAAAAAATGGTAGAACCCACTTCACCGTAGGTGCATGCATATTCATACAAGGAATCACAACAAATTTCCAGAAGTTTCAGTAAAAATGCTGGCATGAGAGTTTCTGATCCTGCAGCCTGTCTCCCTTTAGAAACAGTTTATATAAAAGAAGAAATTGGAGGAAGGCAAGAAAGAAGGAAAAGAGCTCTCCAGTGTCCTCCTCTCCCCATCCCCCCTCCCCGAAATGCTCATGAAAGGTGCAATGAAAACATGGGGGAAAGGGGACCTAGTAATTTTTAAAACACAGTCTCTATTTGCTATAGGCAATAGAAACAAACTGGCAACAGAAACAAATGATAAAGAACTATTCCATGAATGTAATATAGAAAAGGGGGA